AATGTTGGGATTAAATTAGACATAGTATTTGTAGTTTTGAATAGTGTCAGTTGTGTTATAACATGACATACGTGTTATTAAAAACTGTCATGCCATGCAAAACCAAGTAAGAAAAGCACAGGGTTTTTGGAAAAATGTGGTTGGAACCAAAAACTCAAATAACTTCATCAGGGACACATATACATGCACACACAGGATAGGAACCTAATGAAAAGGGTAGCATAGATTACGGTTACTAAAGGTATGAATGACCAAATGTGGCTCTTTACCTTAAAAAGGATCTGAAGTTTTGTTGTGGAAGTAGGCATCAGAAGGATTGCAGTTTTGGAGTTACTGTGAAGTGGTGGAAGATGTGACGCTAGATAAGTATGGCTCATGGTGCATTAAATGAGCTGAGGAAGCTGGCAAACGTTACAGTTTTGTATGTGTGTATGTGTGTGCAGTTGTACTTGCTCGAACATTGTGCAGTGCTATTTTGCTGGCTGCAGTTCATCTTGTGTTTCTTGCAAATGAAATCACGCATGTGTAAACACAGAATCTATGTTATTCTCAACTTGTTCCTTTGTATGTGACTTATATTGGAACAAATCCACATTTTCAAAGCAAGTGATATTACAGTCCTCATCTTATTTAGAAATATTTAGATAGATACAGAAATAAACATAGATTCAAATGCATATATTCATATGAGCATACCAATAATTCCCTATCTCTGACAACCAGAAAGAGGCAGCACCCCAATAGCAATGAGCACGTCTAGCTTGCAGATGTCAGAATCTAAATGCATCTAAAAGAAACTGGTGCTTTAAGAAATACCTATTGCAGAACTAGATCAGGAAAGCATAAGATCAACACACTTTAGATAAACATAGAAACCTGACTGAATAGGCTTTCACTGGCCAAATCTAGGATAATTTCATGATCACAGTGTTTTATAACATTGTAAAGAATTGAACAAAAAATTATGATTCTACAGAGATATATTTTAGAAAATGAATGAGTTGAATGAGAAGGAATGATCATTTGACATAAGGGCATAGAGTATTTCATTTATTTCCCCACAAAATAATATTAATTACAAAGGTAAAGCCAGAAACTTTAAAATGGAGGAACAGACATCACCCCTATCAATGATTAAAGTGACCCATTATCAATAATGGAACAAGTTCAAAAGCATGTTCCACCTGGTAGAATGCCATTCAGTATGTAAGAATACCTTTGCAATATTGCTGTTAGTGTTGCATAACCTGAATCTAATCTAATGAGGAAACATCAGACAAACCCAAATTTGGGGACATTGTGCAAAATTACTAGCCTCTACTCTTCAAAAGTGTCAAGGTTAAGAAAGTCAGAGAAAGACTGAGGAACTGTTACAAACTGAAGAACTAAAGAGTTCCTACAACTAAATACAAATTGTGGTTCTGAGCTAGATCATTTTTCTACAGAGGATATCACAGCAACAACTGGGAATGGAATCTCAAGATTTGATTGTGTCCCTTCTCCCTCCATCCTCAAAATAGCTTGGCAAAGTAGGTATTATCTCTTTTTATAACTCAACAAAGATATCAGAAAGATAAAGTATTATGTTTAGAGACAATTCAATAGGAAAAAATGAAGGATAAGATTTAGGACTTGACATGCTAATGGGCACCAAAGGAAGGGAAAAGGACTTTGTCCGAAAGGAGACCTGATGGATCTATACTTATCAAATTGTTTCAGAATTGTCTGTGTCTGGTTCAAGACCAGAGTGCGCTGGTTGAAGGCAATCATAGCTTCTCTCATTAATGTTGAATAAAGCTGAGATAGATATTTACCTGAGAAATTTCCAGTAAATAACATTACAATAAGGCCAGTAGAAAACCCAGTGTCATTAGTTTAAAAAGACTAGATTTTGTCTAGCAGAACAGAATCTCTGTCTAATGGTGAACAGAGTTAAAAATGAGTGATCCAGGAACTAAAATGACGAATGGAGAGATCTGATGGTTCATGAGTTTGTTAAGAAACCCTTTCTATTAGTTGTTCTCTCCAATGAACACCTCTACCACCAGGCATCTGAACAAAATAACCTTTACTTTTAAAAAGAGGAAAGTATTGATAGAGCTGACCTCCAAGCTTTCATATGTGAGATAATCTCTGGGATAGTGCCTTTACTTTCAGTAAAGTTGAGTCTTAACAAGTCTCAGTTTAGTTATGTGCTTTCCTTATTATTATTATTTTTGCTAGCAAGTATTCCTTGAATGGCTGAATTTGATTTAGGTTCTTTTCCCCTCAGAATGCTCTATGTGTGCTGTCATTTTATCAGTCTTCACACTATTCTATCACTGAACCACTGAATGAGCTGGAAACAAAAATTTTTTTGAGGTCAAGATGTTTCTCTGATATGATTTTATGTTTACAGAGTATGGAACACAGGTGCTCAAGAAATTGTTATCAAATAAATGAGTAACAATATTAAAAAGTACATTACTTTTACTTCTCTGAGGTTGATTTCCTTGGTTTGTTCATTCATGGAATCATTTACCCACTCATCTGCTGGACAAGCATCCCTAAAATATGTGCTCTATTCACACATGTGGTCTAATTTTCTTAACAAAGGAAAACGAGCTATATTAATTCTTAATAAATTATTTTTTCACAGTTACCAAGTTGTAAAACGAATGGAATTGCATTGTTATACTTTATTTCAGTGGGGAGATGGGAACTTGAATGTGTCCTTTCTAACCTCATCCCAAAATTTTAAGTAAATCTTAGGACCTCTGCTGAGCTGATTGCTCACCAGATCTAGAAGATCTACAACCTAGGGAAGCAAACAAAGAATACTGATAGAGAACTTCCCTCCTCTGTGTTGGAGGAGATTTTGGAGGTTATCAAAAAGAACCATGTAAGGATTTGAAATTCTGGTTTTCAGAGATTTGTGAATTCCCATATATGGTGATATGACTTCTGAATTGAGTGCTCACAGAATGGCAATTGGTCTACCTGGTCTCTCATTTGTTGCTGAAATTCTTAGCAGAAACATTTAGTCTCTTCTGGCTGAAAAGATTTTCATTAGTTATCAACCTGGACAAATTGTATTTTGTTTGCAGGCAACTTTCTGACTCATTCAGCAAGAGATTGCTATATTTCCCAGCATTTTCAAGATTGTTGCCATCTAAGGCTCCTCAATAGGGCAAATTTAACTTCCAGTGAAATGGACACCTACCTGAAGGAGTCCCAGCACCCAAAATGAAGAGAATCAAGAGAACATGAAGATGTGTATTCTGAAAAAGAGTGGTTTCTAATGAAATAGAACTATGAAAGAAGTCCACTCCCACCCTGTCCTACTCTTTTGGCAGAGCTCTCTTACCTTGTGCAATAAACAGCTTAAAGAGTATAACTCAACTTTCACAAAACTCCCTGAAATTAAAGTTAACAATTATGGACCAATCTTTCATATTGGACAAGAACAAAGAATAACAAAAACTTCCTGAAACTGATCACCTAAATAGAGCTTGAGATTTAAAATCACACCAATCAATGATCATAATAGGATTATTTGACATCTTAAATTTCTTTTGGAAAAAAGAAGCTACAAATAGTGCCATTGTAGTGTTAAAAATGCAGAGCTGGATTTTGAATATGGACAAAAATAACACCTCTACCAATAAATAAAATCATAAAGTTAATTAAGGAGATTCAAGAATAGCATACACACATACATAGCATAACACATGCATGCACACACACACACACACATACATACAACTTTTTGGATCTACAAAAATGGACCACAATTTGCAAACAGACAAAAATGAATTGAGGGAGTGGATGAGTTTAACAAATGAAATGAAGATGGGAAAGATAAGAGATGTGGATAACAGATATTCCAGGTGAACGTAGGCAGAGATATTAAAGGGAGGACATTTTACTAAACTGTAAAAGGGAACTTCTCTGAGAAGAAGACTCAAATTTTCAGGTTAAAATGATTCACTAAATTCCAGACAAGAGCAATAAAAATGGACTATGGAAAAGAAGGCAAAATTGGAATCTTTTCTAAAAAATGTAAGACTTAAATGGTTATAAGGACTGCATTGAAAGAAGGCAGGTAAGAGGGTTGGCACAACAGAAACTCATAGCCATCACATCACAGTACTCAAGAAAATCAGAATGATAACCTTTCTACATCGAGCATATCCAAGACCCCCCAAGATTTTCCTTATGCTCAATAAGGGATAAGAAAGTCTTGGACACCCTGGTAATAAAAATGATCATATATGATGATTAGCAAGGACAGTGGACTTTGTTTATAAATGACCTCATTTTGAAAAGCCCATTTGAAAAAACCCTAGTGAGAGAAGTCACCTATATGTTTAACAAGATATTTAGGACCTGCACACACATTATAATAGTTTGCCTGAAGTAAAAATTTAAATGACCCACCATTGGTTGTAGTTTTTAAATTCTAACATTAAGAAACTCAAGTTCAGTAAATGGTGGTGGTGGTGGAACTCATTTCCTTATTAATACCTATGAATATACTGGCAAGATTCCAGGACTTTTGGGATAGAAGAAAAATCTTAAAAGTTTCCAAACAGAAAACCAAAGTTATTTGATTCTCCTAAAAATGGTCTGATTAGGCTGGAGGCCTGGATCAAGTGGTAGAGTACCTGCCTAGCAAGTGTGAGGCCTTGCATTCAAACCCTATACTGACAAAAAATGGTTTAACATAACTATGTCATTTGCATTTTCTAAAACTCAGTTCTTTAAAACTTATCCTATAATATGTGATAATTGCTTGATTTTTAAAGCAAAGTCGTATTTGAATTAAGCACAATTTAGTTTGAGGAATGTATAAGTATTCATGCTTGTTACTAAAATGAATTTCAACCACCGAAGAAAAAGGAGCTGAAGACGAATACTTCATTTTATAATAACATTTAATTCTACAAAATTTTATACAAAATACTTTTATCAGATAGCATTTGAGCTCTTACTGAAAATAGTAAACATGCAAAGGGAATTTAGAATAAGACATAATATTACTGACTTGACTAGTCAACCAAGACAATAATATATATGCATCTCTATCATTTTTCTTATATAGATTTCTTACATGTATTGTTTCATTGCTTCAATTGTCTTTGGGATTAAAGGCATGGTATATACATTAAGAAATTGACATAAGTAGGAAGCACTGATTTCTGTGTAAACATATTTCATTGGGAAAAAATTCAAAAGCCTACATCAAAATCATTTTGGAGTGCTGGAGAGAACCCATCAGACCATGTATTTTATGAGTCACACTACTTCAATTAGACAATCATTCAAATATTGAGAAATGGCACCAAATATAAAGATATTTTTACACTAGTAATTTGGGACCTAACATCTAACATGTTGGTCCATATTTCTGGATGTGCCTTTTTGTTTATTTAAATTTGATTCTTGGTAATGGGAAGGAAGCTGGGGTGCAGCAATGGTATTTAGATTTCAGGTTCCAGCTGTTTGTGGTATCCGTACAGAAGAAAGCGATTGTCATATTCTCTGTATTCAGGAACCTAGAAAGAAAGAAAACAGAAATTAGAATTGAAATAAAGTATTTTTAAGCTACTATCCAAGTTTATAAAGAATTAGAAATAAAAACTTGAGTTGAAAAAAAGAATGAAAATATTTATTTTATTCAATTTGACTACATTCCCTCTTTCCCAAATCCACTCTCCATAAAAATTCTGTTGAGAGCTCTCAAGCATTTATTCCTCTCAATTTGTGTAGGAAACACTTTGGGCAGAAATCCCAGTGGTCTGAAGAGATAGAGAGTAGAGAACAGAAAGAGGCTGATGTCTTGTTATTTGTGGGACATTTTTACACATCTTCACTCAAAGTCTTCAACCTTACATATTCCATTTGAGTTTGTCTACTTTTAAATTTAGTGTATCTCACACTATTGCCCTGAAATCTTATTTTTAATGTTTAACTTTTTTATTGCTATTAGATTACTGAAAGGACATTTGTCAAATTTTTATCTTTGCTTCATTTAGTTTCTGCTTTGGAAAGTACCTTAACTTCTAATGTTTATTTGACTGGATGTATGGTCGCTATTTCTGTGAGTAGGAGTTCATCCACTTTCGTCACACATGTGTCACACAGGCTAAAGGTGAGGACACCTTTTGCTAGTGAAGTCATCATTTACATTCTTATTTGGAACCTTGCTCAGTACCTTCCAATAAACAGAATCATCATAGCAGTACTCATCAGGTAGCTGCTCCCAGATAGGTATCCGTAAAATTAAACCTGTGAAGACAGAGGGGAAAAGCCACAGATTCTGAAGAGCAAAGTCTATGTACACAGTAATTAACATACTGTCACTACATCATTCCCTCAGGCTGATAGAACGACTTTACTGCCAGAAGCTTAAACCATTTTTGGATTTACCAGTTGACTTGCTTATTATTCATTTATGTTACTGACAGCATGGGATACAGAGAAGTGTTCTCTTTTATTTTTTTAAGTCAGGATCTTGCTATGTTTCCCACGCTCTCATTGAATTCACCATTCTCTTGCCTCAGGCTCCTGAGTGACTGGGATAAGAGGCATAAACCACCAGTGCTCAGCCACGCATTCTTTTTTTAGGCTCACCTGTAATCAGACCTCCAAGAACTGCTGTTCCAATGGAAGAACCCAGCGCAGCTGCCTGCATGGCCACGGAAGACCTAAGAAACCAAATAAGAAAGAACTGTACTTTTCTTAGACCCAGCAAACAAACCTTACCTACAAAAAGTATGGATGTTTGCCATCTTCAGGACAGAACACAGCATTACACGCGAGCAAACAGCTATTGGCTACGGTTTTTTTCTTTAATATTTTTATTTTCTGTTACAAAATTCTTATACACAATTTAAAAAATCCATCTTTTGATATATCTTCAGGAAAAATAAGAAGACCTTCCTTAGAAAGAATTTAGCACTCTCAAAACCTCGATCCCTGATTTAATTCATTCTATAAATATTTGTTGAGTACCAGCTCTCTTCAAGAGTGAAATAATATATAAAACAACTGAGCGAGGAAGGGGGAATGAAGGAGAATGGTGGAGAGGGCAAATTCAAGAAGGATATATTTGGTACATTGTAAGAACTTTTGTAAATGCCACAATGTACCCCCACCCAGCACAATTTAAAAAAGAAAAGAAAAAAAAAAAAACCCAACATGAATACAACTCCTCACTCATTAAAGAAACAATTATAGTTAAATTAGAATATCAGTAAGATCAGAAAAGCTAATTTCAGCATGTTTGGTACAGAAAGAACTTAAGATATTTAAGTGTGTGTCTGTTATACTAAAAGTAACTAAGCAAGAGTAATAGAGGGGCTCAGCCTGATTAAAGTACAATATATTTACAGGTGAAATGTGGTGAGACCCCTTTGAATAATGAATGTGCACTTAAATAATAATGAACAGGAATGTAAATCAGGTCCTGCTATGGGGTGGGTATTGGTGGGAAGGGGAAGGTGATGAAGAGGTTAAAGGGGAGTGAATATGGTCAATGTGCTTTATATCTTTGTATGAAAAAAGAACACTGAAACCTGTTGAAATCATTTGAAGTAGGGGGAAGAGGAGTGAAGGAGAATGATGGAGAGGCTGAACCAAACCAAGGAACATTGTAAGCATGTATGTAAATGTCACAATGAAACCCCTGTACAACTAATACATGCTAATTAATGTTTAAAGAAAAATAAAAGAAGTTACATTAAACTGACAGTAATTTTTAAAAAATCTTAAATGTGTGTGTGTGTGTGTGTGTGTCTGTGTGTGTGTGTGTGTGGTACTGGGGCTTGAACTCAGGGCTTTCATCTTGAGCCACTCCACCAGCTCTTTTTTGTGATGGGTTTTTCGAGATAGGGTCTCACAAAATATTTGCCTGGGCTGGCTTTAAGCTAGGATTACAGGTATGAGCCACCGGTGCCCAGCAAGTCTTATAACTTGGAGAATGGAGGAAGGTAATAAAAGGTTATTGAAAAGTTGTTACAGAAGTGACATGTGACCTAGGAATGTGGGAGTCTTCTTAGCACAATGCCTGTCTCAGAGCAGGCAGTGAATAGAGCTGGTGAAAGATTAAATGAATGATTATCGGAAAGTCAACAACTGGAAGAGGTAGTTAACTTTATTCTCTTAGTCCTATCTATTTGATCTTAGTAAATAAAGATGATACTTAAAAACTTTGGCCAAGAATGCTAAAAAAGTGCTCCCCATCATTGGATACTTCAACAAGTAAGAGTAAAGAGCCCAGGACCCAGGGAAGGAAGCCTCTTGCTTTACTCACGTGCTAGGCACTCCCATGGCTATGGCTGCGATGCTTGCAAGGCCTCCGATGACACCCGGCAGGCCATGCAGATTGTGAACCCCACAAGTATCTTGGATCATCAACTTAGTAGCAAAAAATGGCTAAGATTGTAAAGGGGAGACATTATTTCGTTAGACATGCAGAGCTCCATAACTGGAGTAAATAACTATGCAGAAGAAATTTTTTACAAATTAAATTTTATTGGGTATATATGATAGATGACATGATGTTATGGAACCATATAAATAGCAAAAAGGTTACTATTGTGAAGTGAATTCATATCTCCATCATCTTCACAGTTTTTGTGTGTGAGAGTCTGAGAGATGCTTATTTAGCATGAATTCCATATGCAGTACATTTAAAAGTCTATATTCCTTATGTACATTAGACCTCTAGAATTGTTTATCCTAAATATCTGCTACATTGTATCCTCTGGCTTACATTCCCTATTTCTTCCCCCATCCAGAAGAAACTTCCTCTACTGCTCAGTTCTCCATCACATCTAAAATCTACTTAAGTATAATAATTTGAATACCTTAGCAAAAAATTGCCACTTCAGTCCCTTAGTGGCTGTGTGTGAAGTGTAGAAATTTTAGGAATTACCCCTTGTCAGCTTTCACTTCTATAGCAGCTCCAATCCTTTAAAAGAGCACTGTTTTGTTTTATACAAAACCGAAACAACCTAAGTATGTTCACGGGAACTTTCCCAGAGGACTGCCACACATGAGCACTCAAATTCCTACTAACTTACAAAAAACTGATTGATATCAGCCTCTCTCCCGCTATGCAGAAATCACAGTAGAGTAGAACCAATGATGGCTGAAATGTGTGTATTTCTGAAAGGAAGGGTAAATGGCCTCCAAGCAAGGAGAGGAGCTTCAGAAAGGGAGCTAACTTCCTGTCTTTTCTCTGCTGGTGGGATGTGAGCAGGGAATGGTGCAGATTCAAGGTTTAACTCAGAACATCTGCCATACTTACAGTCAGGATCTTGTATCCCAGCACAGAGACAATTCCTGCCACACTCCCAATGATCATGGAAGTGAACAGGTGGATATCCATGTTGGCACAAGTGCCCACTGCGACGCCCCCTGCCAGGGTGGCATTCTGAATGTGAACCTGTACGGAGGCACAACCATGAGTGACGATAGCTGGATGAGGCAGAGTTGGGAAGGACTGGAGGAGTAAAGAAGTCAATGGACTCCTGGGCCAGTCTTCAGTTGAAAGAACTACTGACATAAAATAATTTAAAAAGAATATTAAATGAACAAATCTTATGTATAAAATATTAAGACAAAACTATACAAATGATGTAACCTATGCTTCACTACAGAAGACTTTTCTTTCAAGCAGTTATTTCCATCATTCTTTCATGGATGTCTTCCCAGTGACTTAGTCACTCAGTTAATGGAAACAGTGGTGAGAAGATTTAAAAAAAATTGCAGTGGAGGAAGTGCAAATATTCTAGCAGTCTCTTAACTACTTAAGCAGTTTTTAGAATAGGTATCTGTCTCCCAAATTCAAGGAAAGAACTGGGACTGCTGTGTGCTTTATAAAGCTGACAATATCCCAATATCTGAAAAGGAAATATAGAGACATTGAGATGTTCACATTGCATATGAGAGGCAACAGCCCTTGGAAGTGGTGATGTACTGGGAATACTTGAGAATGAAGAAAGAGGAATCAATTTCTGTTCATCACAATTCTCAGAAACTATAATTTGGCTGATCTGCTCAGGAGGAGAGCGTATCCCTAATTTTGAAAAGAACCACTGAGCTGTACATGTAAGACTTTTTTCATTGCTTCTAATTGTCTCTCATGATGCATTTCATAGAAAATTGAAATACATGTCCTCAAAAATTCTTTAAAAATAAACTATAGTATCCTTTTCCTCCCCCACTTAGAAAAGTAGAGTGACTGATGTAAGGGTTTTTCCTTTACTACCATTTCTTTTGTCTTGTAGACAAGAAACTCAAGAGGCTGGCCAGGGTGGATTTAACAATATATGATACTTTGACCTAATTTTGGATACACAAAAGTTGCAAAAATACTTCAGAGAGTTTCCATATATTTTTCAGTAATTTCCTCTCACCCGCAGTGTTGTCATCTTCTACAACCATAAAAGGAAATTAGCATTGATTGAATACTAGCAAGTCATTATTAGAATTTCAATATTATTTCCACTGGTGTCATTTTCTTTTCTGGAAGCCTATTCAGGATCCCTCATTGCATTTAGTTTCTTTGAGAGGAATATTTACGGTTGGGAAAATAAAAATGCATCATCTTATTTTCTTTTCCTACTCTCTGACAAGTCTTGTTTCTAGGAGGGATGTTCTAAGAATTTGGGAGCAGTTAGCTCTATTGTTAATGAAACAAATCTTAAATCTCTGATTTTTTTACATGCCTACATTACCTACAGGCTATAAATTCTTGAAAACACTTTAATTTGTCAAAGTATAAATTTGATGAATGAATGAATACGAATGTTTTCAAAACATTCTCCTAGGTTTGCCATTTTGTGATCTGTCCTGATATCTCCTCAGTGGTGCAGAAATGACCTACTTATCTGAGCAACTCTCATTGCTCCTAAGTGAAAAAACCTCCATTGGGATGAGCATAGCACTTACCATATCGAGTTTGCCTCGGTGCTGGACAAGGCTGGATAATGCATAGGCTGTGATCACACAGGCAGCAAGAGAGAAGTAAGTGTTGACAATGGCCCTGTACTGTTCATCTCCAGGTTCAGCAATGGCTGCGTTAAAGCTGGGCCAAAATATCCATAGAAAAAGAGTGCCTGTAAATCATAAGAAGGGATATTAGCTCTGCATGGAAGACCACATAAGAGAGGCACTGCTCTGGGCACTGACAAGGTCTCTAATTTTAGACTCAATTATTAAAGAGTTGGAAGAAAAGAGGAATATGTAAGCAGCATAAACAAGGGTCTTGAAAGCAGGTTCCCTGGTTCCCTTGTTCTTGGTGGGTGGAGTGTGGGAGGATGGGAGGTATTGGGACTTGAACCCAGGGCCGTGCTCATCACTGGTAAGCACTCTATCACTTTACCTATGCGCCAGCCTACATGTTCCTTTCTGAGCATTGTCACACCCATGCTGAAGTTAATTTTCTTTCATGCCTCACCAACTAGACAAGAAGCAGGCCAGTTCATTCCCACTCACCAATCATGGCAAACAAGTCTGAGTAGTACACAGAGTCTTCTTTTTCATGCCCATTTTTCAGGCCAGATCGATATAAGATACCTGCTACAGCCAAACCAAAGTAGGCTCCAAAGGCATGAATTGTCATTGATGCTCCAATATCAGAGGCCTAGGGGACAAAATGGCACAAGTATAAGTACAGGTGAAATTGAGTCTTGATTTCAGGAAGAAAGTCAGTGAAAGAACTTCATTATTTATACAATAAAAGACAGATAGCTGGGCGCTGGTGGCTCACTCCTGTACTAGTAGCTATTCAGGAGGCAGATATCAGGAGGATCACAGTTTGAAGCCAGCCCAGGCAAATAGTTCATGAGACTCCATCTTGAAAAATTCCATCCCAAAAAGGGTTGATAGACTGGCTCAAGGTGAAAATCCTGTGTTCAAACTCGAATATCATTAAAAAAAAAATATATATATATATATAGAGAGAGAGAGAGAGAGAGAGCGAGAGACTGTGCTCTCTCAGGGTTGTAAAACGGGAACCTATTAACAGCCTAACAGAGCTGCGTTGACACTTAGATCTCTAAGACCATATTTCTGAAGTGCCACATTCTTGGTGGGCACTGAACACATTGTAGGTTACTTCTCTCAGTTTTGGAGATTCTCGGTGAACTATTATTGTGTATTTCACTTGACTCAACCAAAAATGATTTACATTCACGTGGCATTGCAGTAAAGGCTCATTTTAACTGCTACTCAAAGACTTGAAGCTTCCAAAGGCAGAGTTTTTTCGCTTGGCTATATGGTGACATGACAACCAGCCAAGTTTCAAGACTACTTTGGAGGGAATCATGTTAGCTCCCTCTTCAGGACATGGTATGGATTTGACCTAGTTTTCCTCCCTTCCTGCTTCCAGAGGGAAAGTTGAGTGCCAAACCTGGAAGATTGCCCTGTACTCATTAAGACAGGAAAGCATGAAACAAATTTATTTATTTTGACTTTGAAACTCTTTCTAGTTGTATTAAAAAGAATGGCCTGGTTGTGTTTAGTCTTTGACTAGACATAGATCCAGTGCCCTTAAAGATCCATACTCGGTTGGATTGAATCCAAGGAATTTTCTAGCATACCTGAACCTTCAACCACCCAGCGCACATGGTCCTTTCCCAGTTCAGAAACCTTGCTTTCCTTCACCTTGGCTTCAGGAGAGTGGGAAGGGCAATTAATCATGCTTGGACTTTCCAGATACCATGTGAGTCTGTGTTTCTCTTTAAATGCTCCATAGTTGTAAGCAAAAGGCCTGCCCAGTTTCTCCTGAAGCCATTAAATTAGTCTTTGTCAGCCTCACAATCTATAGGACCTTTGGATAATCTGGTCTTCATACCTTTGTGGCTTCATCTTGTTCCAGCCACTTCTTACACCCTTGCTTTAGTTTCTCATTACCAATTCACCAGTCTTTCTTCACTTTACTTTTGTTTAAAGTTCATTCCTCCCCATTAATGACTTGTAAGACTTCTACATATATTTCATGTCCAACTCCACTGTCATCTCCCCTGAGACCCTCCTTGATTCTTTAATCTAAATTAGACTCTTATTTTGTTTTTTGGTTGGTACTGGGGTCTGAACTCAGGGTCTTGTACTTGCTAGGTAGGCATTCTACTGTTTGTGCTATATGCTCCCAGGCCTTTTATGCTTTAGTTTTTTTTTTTTTTTCAGATAAGGTCTCATGATTTTTGCCCAGGGCCAGCCTCAGACTGTGATCCTCCTGCCTATGCCTTCCTCATAGCTGGGAAACAGGTGTGTATGCCATCATATCCAGCTTGTTTATTGTTAAAGTAGGACTTCTGCTAAATTTTTCCTGGGCTGATCTCAAGCCATGGATTCTCCCAGTCTTTGTCTCTTAAGTAGGGTTATAGACATCATTAGTATGGCTGGCCCTACATACACTTTCTTATACCTGCTGCTTCCTAGTACTTATTTTTTGTGTCGTTGGGTGGTAGGGCATGTTATAGTTTGGATGTGGAATGTTCCCCAAGTCTCATGTGTCAAAGGCATAGTCTTTAATGCAGCATTGTTCAGAGGTAGCGCTGTGGGAAGTGATTGAACCGTGAGGACTCTGATCTCATCAATGAATTAAAGGACATTGGGAGGTGGTGGAAACTGTCAGAAGTGGGACCTACTTGGAGGAAGTAGGTCACTGGAGGTGTGCCCGTGGAGGGTGTCTCTCTGCCTTCCGTCTGGCATGAGATGAGATGAGCTCCTTCCATGATGCTCTGTCTTACATGGGCCCAGAAGCAATGGAGCCAAGTGAACGTGAGCCAAAATAACTTTCCTCCTTTGGTTTTCTTGGGGTTTTGTGACAGCAACAGAAAGCTGACTAATATATGGTGGATGTATTATTGTTTGATTTTTGTCTCCTCCAGTAGAGTGTAAGTTCTTATGAAGACAGGAGCCTTACTTTTATTGTTTGTTGAGTCGCTACTACTAAGAAAGTTAAAATATTTGCTCTCAAATTAGGTGCTCAGATAAAAGTATCTACAAAATAACAAAATACTGGAGAGTGACCAGAAATATTCTATTTATAATCCCTGGGAGAATCAATGAAATTTTCATGGAAGGGAAGAAATCTGACAGAAGCCTGAATAAATACAAGGATTTATGCAGGGTTTAACTATAAATAGGAATTAATTATTTACCAATGATTAATAAAAAGGGTCATGGTGGCGTCTGGATTTAAATTCAGACTCACGTGAGTCATTTAGTACATGTGATTATCAGTCTTACTGCATATAAATGCTAACAACAAGAATAACTAACCATTATATGTTTTTGTGAAGAAGAGATGAGGTAATGCGTACAAAACCCCTGCTTTATAAGAGGCACTCAATAAATGGTGGCTATCATTGCTGTTGCTATGGTATCATTGTCATCCAGTTTGTCCCCATTACATGTCATGGACAGAACTGATGCCCAGACCTAGGTAAGCGTGAATCCTCTTACCCTTACCTGGAATATCTCACCAACCAGATATTCATTGCCAGCAAAGAAAACAATTTCTATAATTGTCATAATCAACATTTGGATGGGAGTCGTTTTTCCCAAGACTGCTCCAAAAGAAATCAGGACTGTGGCTGTACTGAAGTCTGCATTTATCATGCTGAAAGGGAAGAAAAGAACAAATTGAAGAGTGATGCCTACCAAAGACAAAACTGTGAGATGTAAGTTGAACTATGGTGACAGCTTATCCAGAGCATAAGCCTCTCTCCCTCTTGACCCCATCTGGCATTTCTCCCACCCCACTCTTCTTTCCACTCTTCCTATCAGCACACACTATAGTTGCTCTCACTTTCTGGTTCATAGGTGGTGACTTCTAGCTGCGCTCTCACCTGGTGAAAGGAGTAAAGAGTCTTTCCAGGGCCTCATTCATGGGAGTTCCATATTCAGGACTTAACTCCTGAAGGCCTCACCTCCTAATATCATCACTTTTTTCATCCTAGGAATTTTCTTGGTGGGGGACGCAAACATTCAGACCATATCAAGGACACTCACTTTTTGATTCCAATGTGAAATTTCTGTCCGTGGCTGTGCAGGAGCCCCTGTGCGATAGTGCTCCATTGGAGGCCCAGAGCAGCAATGAGTAGGTTGATCCCCACAGCACTGAAACCATAGCTTTTCAGGAAGGTCATAAGGAAGCCAAAGCCAACAAAAATCATAACATGCACATCTTGGAATACTGAGAAAGAGCAGAGAAAAACATGATTGCATGACAAGAACACAAAGTGTTATATCATAGTATATTCTGTTTATTAAAGGTTGCCAACTTTATCTAAATCTTTCCAAGAGCAGAGCTTTATCTGGGAATAAGTGCTAGCTAACATTACTATCTGCTACAGTGTCACTCTCATCAAGGTTGGGCTCCCACTGTGTTTTATGGCGAGCAGGGACACACTAGAGCTAGTAAGCATAAGGACAGGGCAGCCAAGCTACACATCAGCCGTGAGATCTTGGCAAGTTATTCAGTATTCAGTCTTTTCTTGGAAAGTTAGGTACTATCATATTGTGACTTCCATCTTCTTCCTAAAGAATTTTTTTGTGATTTTCCACTCAAGGACAACTTTGCAGAACACAGGGCACCCCCTCCCCTTAAAAACACTCCCAATACAGGGAAAATTAACATTTCATCTTGCCATTTCTGTGACAAGAGCTTTTATCTTTTGTCACATTGTATAACATTTATTTAAAAAGCATTATGCTGTAATAGTCAGTCAATGAAGTGTTTACCTCCTATACTAGATTGAGGGTTCATGTGTGTGTGTGCGTGTTGGGATTTGAATCCAGGTTCTCGGACATGCTAAGCAAGTGCGTCAAATCCCTAGCGCAGATTTCTTGATAGAAGGGGTTAGGGCATATACATCCTTTTCTCCCTTGAACTTGACTTGTTAGCCTGCATATAATAGACAAAGATGAATTTTTGATTGATGAGTAAATAAATGAATGAGCTTCATTTATCAAATGTGTGTAATAGTAGTAGCTCTGGAAATCTTAGCAAATTTTTATTTGAGCAAGGTAGAATAATGTCTTTGTGATCATTTATAAGTCAAATAAGCACTAAACAAACATACTGGCTCTTTCCTCTTGAGGAAGAAATACTCGAGTTGTGATCCAATTCGATCACATGACCACGTGACCTTGGGCAGATCACTCACTGTTTATGAGCTTCAGTGCTTCACGTGCAAGACTGAAAAGGCCCTCTTTCACAGGGTTACTCTTAGTGAATTAACCTGATTTCATACAGTAAAGTACAATACAAATAAAACATAGGATCAAAATGCAGCAAAGTAAAAACACAGGCTCTGCCCTTACAAAACCTATAGCTTTAGTCATTGAAGTGTGTATTTGTATGAATCAAATGAAATTTATATTTTTGCACTGCAATTACCATTGAAAATAGTTGACTATTGGCATCACTTATGGTTCAATCTTATAGATGCACAAAGCAAAGTGAGATAAAATTGGAGACAAATGTAAAACCAGAGGGAGAAAGTAAAAAATGCAGGTGTTGAGTCAGTGTTAATCACAGAGGCTGAGGGTTTACATGGAAATAGGTACAAGGGAAAGCAGGTGTAGAAAGCATGTTCCAGAAGAAAGGATTATTAGAGGTTAATTGATTTCCACAAAGGACAGTGTCAAGATTTGAATTTAGGTCTTATTTGGTTGATTATTCCATTCACTGAATATGGTAGATGTGTAGACAAGCAAGGTAGAGCTCAGGAGGCAGTGTGTTGAGGGTGGGAGACTATGGACTATGTCCCCTTTTAGGCTTGCCTACTGTGATGGAGGTTGTGATGTACTGTCCAGATTTCCTCTTCAGAACTGAAGGAATTTTGCCTCTCGTTTTTACTGGCTGTTGAGACTGCTGCCTGATGATAGCCCTAAACTCTGGATTCTCTCTGGAAAATGCTCTTGGTTTGCTCATAGTCACTGTCCTTCCCTAGGGTTGTTTGCATCTAACGACTGACTCACATCTCAGGAACAGACCACCTGAAGCAGACAATAAGAGCTTCAGAGTTCTTGGGGGATTTCCTGAGGCCTTCTCCTCTGCCTATGTCCTCCTGACATAGGTACCAATTCTTATGGTATTGATTCTCATCCCATACTTACCTTGGGTTTCACCTGATCTCCTGATGAGCACCTGTACCCATTGTCCTTTACAAATTATTTTTGCCACCATTTAATGTTTATACTTAAGTATTTGATCTAGATTATAGACCGAGTTGGAGGGCAACCTAAAAAACAGTCATAACTCTTACTAACCATGGTTTTACTAAACCATCCTGGGACTCTGTTTTCTCTTCTCTTAAGGAAGATTTGGATTCGATGATATTCAAAGTGTGTTCTAGCCCTGCAATTGATTTATTTTAGTTTTTATTAGGACCTGAAGACTCAGAGAAATTGGGTTAGTGGCTTATAGTTACAAAACTAGAATAAAAATAAAGATACAGTTTTACTTACTTCAGTGTTCTTTTGTTGTTATTACACAAAGTTATTTTCCAAAACTTTTTTTTTCTTAGAGTTGTCTTCCCCCCACGTTTTCCATCCCCTAAAAACTACTGATTTGTTTTTGGCAGTACTGGGCCTCATGCTTGCTAAGCAGGTTCTCTATCAGGCGCTTTATCACTTGAGCCACCTCTCTAGCCCCATAAACTACTTATTTTAAAGTGTGCAATAACCGGGTCATTAAAAAATTACTTTTTTAAGTTTTGTAATGCCTCAAATTGGGAGAGATTACTCTGAAGTTTCAATTTCCCTGACTTTTTGATGGAAAACCTGACATTTTACATGCAAGTGTGTATGTGTGTGTTGAAGCTCACATATTAACTGTGAGCCAATGTTTTTTGGGTTTCCCAAAATGAAATTTATGTTACTATTTTTGGCCACAAGAGGGCATAAGAATGTTATCTATTATTTAAATTGATAAAGCAAGCTAGAAAGATATGCAAAGCTCTTGACAGAGAATCTGGAAGAAAAGTATAAATAGACAAGCCTACAAACAATCAGAATCATGTATTATCTTTTACTCCTATTTAAGAGTTTGTGAGTGGGAACAGGGAAAGTCCACAATTTTAGTTTTGTGTTACAAGACTCTTCCATTAAAAGAAGAAAGTATATACTTTTTAAAGGAAAGAGGAATTTCTTCAGGGGTTACACTTTGGGGAGATTTCAAACAAGTTTTTATTTGTTTGTTTGTTTTGGGGGTAAGGTCTTGCTATGTAGCCCAGGTTGGCCTCCAACTGGCAATCCTCTTGTCCCTGCCTCCTGAGTGCTGAGATTATAGGTATGAGTCACCCATGGCAGGTTTTTTACTTTTCTAGACCAGTGGTTCTCAAGAGAGACCACTTTTAGCATTTAGAGTGCATTTGGCATCATCTGAAGACATTTTTGATGGTCACAACCCGATGGGGTGTGGCGAGGTTACTGGTCCTGAGGGTTGAGATTGGGGATGTTACATCCTGCAATTCACAGCTCACCCCAAGCAACAAATTATCTGGTTCAAAACGCGAACAGTGCCATTGCTGAGAAACCCTCATCTAAGTCAAATTGTGCTTTTGTAAGGATTCAGAGTACTATAAAATTTTCTTTTTCTTGACTATAGGAGAAAACACTGAGCTGATATAGCCACGAATGTCTGCTGCCCAGCTGTGCAGTGAGTTTCACATTTTGTTTAGAGCCAAGATAGTAGGGAGATGGAACCAGGTACCCAGTTTTTCCTTATTTTCTTCTTCCATTCATTGCTTCCCTCTGGGAACATTGTAATAACACCATGATTTGGTTTTTAAAAAACATTTTCTTAAAATTGTCAGCAGAAAATGGAGAAACTGAAAAATATAACAGTGAAGAGATCTCAGTAAATTATAATCTTACAGTGTTGCCAGACTTCCCATGTTCCTGGCTGGGATATGTGTGTCCTCCACATTTTAGGGGAGCATCATACCTATCAAGAATATTGCTCCAGTTCTGTGACAGCTACTGGTTCATGTTCCACTTGAGCTGTTTACTAGCTTTGTACCCTTGGACAACCAAGGACTTTCGTCAACTGTACATAAGAGCATCAACTTATTTACCTACTCATGTCTCCAGTACCTCGGACAGAGAACATGTTAAATAAATACAAAATAAGCGTGTAAAACTCAAGTGTATGTATAACACTCAGTGAGTTCTCACATTCAGTATTGATATTTGTATTAAGAAGACTATCATCTTTAGGAAGTACACAATATTTAGTCAATTTCAAACATTTTTTAGTCTTAATAGACAAATTTTGTTGATGCATGAAAATTCAAGTATGAGTGTGTGTGTGTGCATGTGATATCATATATATGCAATACTTCAAGCTCACAGTGGTTTATCTGGATATCTTCTACCATTTGTTTGTAATAAAGGGAAAGATTACTTGTTTTCACTGAGTAAACTTAACACCCCACAGAAAATACATTCTTTTCCTGTGAAAGTTAACAGTTGGCGGATGCTAATGGCAACCCAAAAAATTTTTTTCTAGCATTTCCTTTTTTTTTGGTGGTGGCGGTACTGGATTTTGAACTCAGGGCCTTGTAGTTGCTAGGAAGGCACTCTACCACTTGAGCCATTCCTCCAGCCTCACTCCACCCCAAAATATTTTGACAACTCTATTAGGACAGTCAGTCAACACAAATAAATGTAGCCTAAATTTCAACATGATAAGCAGCGTTACTCATATAGTGGGAAAAACACAGGTTTGAAAGGCAAACAAGCAGGGTTGGATTCCAAGTAGGCCATACTTACTAACCGTATTGCTCAATCTCTCTAAACCACAATTTGTCATAGTGTTTCTTTCTAGTATGTATGCTAAGGGTTGTTTTGAGGATTAGAGTGTGAGTGTAGCCAGGCATGGTGGCTCACCCCTGCCATCTCAGCTATGCAAGATGCCTAAATAGAAGCATCATGATCCAGGCCTGCCTGAGCATAAATGTGAGATCCTATCCCCAAAATGATTAAAGCATGAAGGGCTGGGGGTTGGGCTCGAGTGTTCGAGTGTCTACCTGGCATGTGCAAGGCCCTGAGTTGAAACCCCAGTACTGCCAAAAATGAAAGGAAAAAAAGAAAATAAATGCAAAGTAAGTTAGCACAGTACCTGGGGAAAATTCAGCTGCTTTATAATTGTTGATTTTATCAAAAATTTAAAATTTGCACAACTTTGTTTCTAAAACAGGATTTGGTTTTGAGATTGGAAACCAGAACCTGCCAGTGTATAGTTATCACGGTCATCACCGCCATCAACATCACCACCACCACCAATAGTGGCAGAAGCCTCATCCCTTTCATCAATATTATTTTAGTAAAGTTCAATTTATTTTGTTCATATTCTACATTTATATTGCTATAGGACATCTTGCAAATTCTGATAACCTCAACATATTTAAAACTTGGCTTACTATTATTCTAACTAATCCTTTCCCACCAAAACAAAACAAAATGAAACACAAATCCCTTCTTTTTCTCTTTTTCCTGTAAATGCAAAATGTCCTCTCGATCCTGCACGCAATACTTCTTTACCTGGAAAACTGCTATATACCTTTCTAGAATCAACACTCTAACACAGAGGTTACACTGTGCCCTTCCCTCATACTGTATTTAATTTCTTTATATGTTTGTCTGTTTTGTTGTACTTGGTGCTCGCTTACCATTTTGTCAAATAGAGTGTTGATGGAGCACTGTGAGTTAGAGACTCAGGAAAAATGACTGCAAATCTGAAGACAAGAACGATGAGGCATCTTTGCAGGGAACCATGGCATCTTCAGCTTTTTTAGGAAATGCCTTGGCTTCCTCTGAGTAATGAATTACGGGAGAGGGCCACTAAGCATGCACATAAATGGGACTGTATGGCCCTAATTCAGGAAAGTTGTGTTTCTAGACCACTAGTGAAAATTGCAAAGCTTGTTTTACAACTGGACATTGGTTAGTTTTCCTATTTAATTTATTATTTTTTTAATAGCTGAGGGACAGGTAAGTTTGCAATAGATTCAACATTTTTTTTTGCCTCACTGAGTTCCACTGCTTTGAACATGTAGGATTATAATCTGAACACATCGTTTCCCAGAGAATAGTACCCTTATGTAACATCTTCCCTCCCCCTTCCAGATACTTTACTTTCACAAATTTCAAATATTTAGAAAAGATATTGATAGGTAAAATTTAGAAAAGATATTGATAGATAGGTAAAAAAGGAATAATAGCAGTAAGACAAAGGAGCTAGGGACCAGCTGCAGCACCGTATCCGGGTACATTTTGCCAAACATCCTGCTCCACCATTGTCCTGGAGTAACGGTTGAGTACAGTTGAGGCTACTTCTTGGTACAGTGGCCAATGTTCCCTGGCAATGACCCCAACAAGGATTTTCCCAGCTCATTGTACTTGTGGTTTCGCCTCTCAAATTGCAGTGTTGGCGCTGAAGACACCTTATTAGGTGAACCACTCCTTATTTCCTGGTTCTCAGAAATGTCCTCCCATTTCTTGGAAAAGACCACAATTATGTACACATCCTTGGTGTAACCATTAAACTCTATTCTTAAAACTACGCAAGTCTGAGTGCTTGGGCAACTTGGCTGTTTGGTCAAACTGCCTGCTCTCAGTTTCCTTTGGGAGTGTATTTCTGCTTTGTAATCATTTCTGTTTTAACAAAACCTAGCATTCGATTAAATAAATCTACTCTGTTAAAGACTTCTCTGTGTGTCTGCCCCTGAATTCTTTCTCCTATGAGACCAACAGCTTGCCCTTGGTCTCCCCTGGCAACAGTGCAATGAACACTTACATACTCTTCAGCTACATTAAACAGCGATTGCTATTTGCTACTGTTGACTTCTCTCACTCCTTCTCTTTGTGGGTGTGTATATACATACACATACCTTCTTCTAAACCACAGGTGATATTTTCTTTCAAGCCTCATTAGTATAAATCACCTGCACATCTAAGAAACATAACACTGACACAATATTATCTTATATAGAATTATATTCAAATACTACACATGTCCCCAAACTGTCTTTTTTTTTTAGATTTTTTTGGTTCATTTTCCATTCAAGCTTCATGTGTTTTCATATATTTTTAGACACTTTAAAATTTCCCACATGCTTTTAATTTGTGATATTATTTCACCTTTTATGTAAAACATCTAAAATTTGGGTTTGTTTGATTATCTCATCATGATTAAAAAGCTACTAAATATTTGGAGAGGAATATTATAAGGTGGTTGTGTGTAATTCATGGCATCACTCCAGGAGGGACATGGTTTATCTGTCCCATTACCAGTGATGGAAGCTTTGATCATTGGTTATGCCTGTGCTGCCAGATCTCCCCGTTATAAATGTACCCTCTTCCCTGCAAGTAGTAAGGGATCTCTGAAGTGATTTCCTCAGACCGTGTGAGTGCTATGTTCTCCAATAATTTTCACTCATTATTTTTATAATTAATTACTTGCCCAATGATCATAGATCTTTTGTGACACAGGAGAATATCAGCAGTTGATAAAATTAGTCACTTTTACTTCTTCATCAAGGAATTCCTAAGTAGAACTGGCCTGTTTTTTTTTTTTTTTTTTTGCAAGTGTGAGGCAGCTTGATGGTTTTATTGCTCCTAAAACACCAGAAGCTTTGCCCACCACAAACTTTATCAACTTCCTTGTATTCCTCAAGGCTTTTATGGTGTCAAATTATTTACCCTAATAGAGTGACCAATATTTTTTTAGTTGCATTAGAGGCCAAAACCCATCTACCTAGTTTCTGAGATGAGTATCACAGGGCTCATTCGCAACATCAAACCTGATGTCTGTGTTTGTAGTTTGGAATGTGCAAATCCAAGCACTGTTTAACATCATCTTTCATTCAATAAAGCACAGCAAAATATAAGTGAGGGGCTAAGAGAATAAGCTCATATAAGCTTTGATTTACTTATAATATAGTTTACTATCATACTTATCTGTGAAAAGTGCAAACTTAAGAACTATTGTAATGCACTGCGAACTTGGCAGGAAACCGAGACTTCTCCATACTTGAATCTCTGCACTGGGCACAGTGCATAGCATGAGGTAGGCACCCCAAACTTTTGTTTATTAGACTCAGACTTTTTTTTTCTAATAATGAATATTAACAGTCTGTTCTCCAGTAAGTTACATTGTTACACAAACTTTGTGTAAGTCAATTATTTGATACATAATCACTATCATGAAGTTTCTTTAGATTATTGTGTGAGAAACAAAGCAATGCATTTTAAACAGAGGTAATGCAGCTCAGCTGGAGCTTAGAAGTAGCTGGAATTTTAGGCCCAGAGAGCCACTGTCGTAGAAGAGAGTGCTTAAAATTGTGTGTGGACTGCAGAATGGAGAGCATTTTTAATGGATGAAGACTGCCTTCTACATAAAATTTTACTTTGTGACATTTTTTTACTATCAAATGAAAAATCTACATTTTAAAATGTACACACAAATACACCTTCACTCATTTGAGTATCTTCCCAGAGGTAGGAGAAAATTTAATTGCATTTGAGAAATAGTTTGAACTATAGGTCTCAGATTTCTCACACGATTCTGGGTAAGAAAGGCTGAAAGGACATCTCTTGTCCTGATGTGTTTATTTCCCTAATCTTTCTTCATTTATAGCCATGGAATTTTATTACATGTAAATATATGTACATATGTGTATATATGTATTTCCCCAATGGAGTGTATATTTTGTGAGGCTATGGACTTTGAGAATTTTGTCTGTTTTAGTCACTGCCCAGGGATTAAAGACCTAAAAGTTCTTGACAAGAATTAGGAGTTTAATAAATATTTCTTTTATTGACTCATACATTGAATGAATTTCCATATTCCTCACTTGTGGGGAACAACTCTAAATAACTTTAAAACAACTTTATTGAAGTAAAATTTTGGCATATATAAAATGAAATATATTTAAAGTGTGCAGTGTGACATTTTCATACACACATACCTTGTGAAATGGCCATAATCAGACTGATTAACTTATCCATCACTTTTGCATGGGTACCTGTGTGTGTGTGTGTGTGTGTGTGTGTGTGAATGTGAATGGTGAGATTTTAGAATTATTCTCTTCACAAATTACAACTAAACAATACAGTGTTAGTTATTATCACCATTCTACACACTGAATACGCAAAAATTGCTCATCTGTTGCTAGGATTTTGAAAATGAGAAAAATGACCATTTTTAGTAGCTTCCCTCCAACTTTGTTTTTGCCTTAAATTCTGACATTAAGTTTTAACTAGGACCGTTTACCCTGCAATTTAGAAAGTTCAGCTTTAATTATGCCAATTAGTAAGCTCTTGTGGTCCTAATAAAATTTTGAGTAGCATTAACCTTAGTTTTGGAATTTTGCTTATTATTCTCTGCTGTATCTCTTTGGTTCCATGTGTGCTAGACAGGAGTCTTACAACAAAAGGATTGCATTTGTTTATCTCTGAATACATTTTCTTTAGCCAATGTTTGGTACTTGAAATATTTATTAGAGGAATAAATGAATGGATAACTATAATGTACAACCATACAAAATTCAACATAATTGTTTTACTGTTCTTTAACTTGAAAATTATAAAACTTGGGCTGGTGGAGTGGCTCAAGTGGTAGAATGGCTGCTTAGTGAATATGAGGCTCTGAGTTCAAAACCCTAGTACCTCAAAAAATTATAAAACTTATTTAATTAAAAACCTTCCTGGATATCTATGCTGTGTAAAGGTGACTAGACTTGGAGTCTGAGTCTCTGACCTATGATCCTAACTCTTCCCCTAACTTTCAACTTTGTATTTTTGCTAAGTCACCATAGGCCATACTTTCTATATGAGAAGTCTTCCCATTATATCAAGTCCCTCAAAAATGTAAGAATGAAAATGCAAGTGTCATATAGTTTATATGCTATAAGTCATGATAAACATCACCATTATTTAAAATAATTTAAAAACTTAAAAAATTATTTGGGTTTTATTTTAAAAATGAACAACCTATATAACAATGATACCCTATCATCTCCCTCCCTGGTTAATGAGGCAATGAATGGCTCATAGCAACCCTCTAGTAAATGGTAGTTATTATATATTAACTGTTTCTTAACCTATCCTTCCAAACTAGAAACTCAATTTCTCCTTTCCTTTAGCCATCATTTCCAGAGAAGGAGTCTGCTTTTATAGTATTTTAAATGTTCACAGTTTTGTTTTAATTTCAAAGTAATAAACTGTCTTCCTTTTAGAATATTATAAAACCTTTAATACAACATTTTCAAATAAAACTCCAATAACTTCTTACATCATCCTAAATACTCCTTTCATACTTGAGGACAACATAGGGAATCCAGGCTTCCCTTCTTATCACTCTGCTTTTTCTCCATTCTCTCTCCAACAAAGTTACCATTAACTCTTCTTTTTTAGGAGGTGGATTTCTATACTTTTATTACTTAACAACTAGTGATAAAGTCAAGTGAAACAGAAGGCAATTTAGCAGTAGGTAGCAACACAAAACTGACCAATTACTTTAACTTCCAACTTTTTGTTCTGATATTTTAATACACACAGATTCTATCCAAATACCTTAATTACAGAGAGTGGAAGACCGTATACCCCAGAAGATACTTAGAATATCTTTGGCATTCATAACTATCTCGTAATTCTATTAGTAGTTCAGATGTTACAGTATTATAGTATTAAAAGATTTCACATTCTGAGAACCCAGAGAACCAAAAAACATACACTAACAATGACAATAATAACAATAAGCAAATTGCCTACTCACAAGGATATAATGGAAGGAATCTGTCCATTTTTGTTGACCTGGTGGCATTGAGCTTCTGTGCAACATTCTGATCTGTCTCATACTGAACAAATAATCCAAATAAAACAATCAAGGCAACTTCCAAGCTTATGGCCAAGAAAGGAAATGTGAACCTCATGTTTGTGCAGAGGAAAGAGATGCACTGAGGGCTTCACAGCCTGAGACAGGTTGATAAGAACAGAGGAGTGCTCTGTGTGTGGCAATAGGGTGCATGTGCAAGGCACATCAGTGACATCACAAAAAATGGTTAAAATGTCCCACCCATTGGGAAAATTATGCTCTGTAATCTAATTGTTTTTTTGTTGTGGTTGTTGTTATTGGTCGTGTTAAAGGGTGGGAGAGAGTGAAAACCATTTAGATGAAAGGAGCCACCTCTTTTGATGGGGGGAGTGGTACTAAGATTTGAATGCAGGGCCTTGAGTTTGCTAAGCCAGGACTCTATCATTTGAGCCACATCCTCAGTCCCTAATTGTTGTTTTGCATGTGGGTTGAAGAATACACAAAGTAGAGTGGGAGAATCCAGATCTCTCAGTGTAGAATGGAAGACATGAAACAAGCTATTGTACAAGTGTCTAGAATCCTATTCAACTTAATTCAGTAGACAATTCTTGAGTTCTTATTACATTCTAGAAACTCTATAGGAGTTGCAATTCTAAACAAAATATAGCTAGGTGCTGGCGGCTCACACCTGTAATCTTAGCTGCTCAAGGAGGCAGAGATTTGGAGGATCAGGGTTTGAAAATCAGCCCAGGCAAATAGTTCACAAGACCCTACCTCAAAAAAACCAATCACAAAAAAAAAAGAAGGGCTGGTGGAGTGACTCAAGGTGCAGGCCCTGAGTTCAAGTCCCAATACCACAAAAACAAACAAAAACTTTATATATAGGCTGCATCGACTAACTTCCTTGAAGAAGTTAAGAATTTAGTTGAGAAGGAAGATAAACAAGCCAGTGATTGTATAGAAGCAAATAAGCAATGAAATAGTGGTTATATATTTCTAAATAACTAGAAGAGACAAGTATGACATTTGCAGCAAGGAAAAATGAGTAATGGTTGAAGAGATGGAAGTGTGCATTAACTGATTTGATAACACACATTGCATACATGTATTGAGTTACCATAATGTATCCCATACAGGTGTACAGATTTTTAAAAAGTATTAAAAACAAGTATAAACAAGGCAGAGCATAATTTTATCTTTAATACATAAGAAAGATCACTACCTCGTGAAATGATACTGATACCAAAACTAAAAAAAGAAATGTGCTTTGCCAGTAAAAAGGAAGAGGGAAGAGCATATGTCTTGGAAGAATGTGGCATGTTTGCAGAATAGTGATTAGTTAAACCAGGCTGGAATAGAGATGTGATTGGGAAGGAAGGAGAGCGTGCATGGAGAAAGCTATGCCGTACATGGGCTGAATTGCAAAGGGCTTTGCATTCGGTACTAAGGATGCTAGATGTTGAGTGTTATCCCACTGGCATGGGGATATGTAGCACTATAAGAAGTACATAAGTGTACACAAAAAACCACAGATGATCTTATATATGCACACATATGAGAGAGAGAGAGAGAGAGAGAAAGAGAGAGAGAATGATTGTATTTGTCTGTCTGGGAATGACAGGGTGACAGGGAGGCGGGACAGGGAAAGGGAATGTCAGAGAGTGACAAGTATTGAAACATTGCACTTGTGTATGAAAACAATATAAAACAATGCATTGAAAGCTGTTGAATAATAGGGGAGCAGGGTGAAAGAAAAAGAGTAAGTAAGGGAGGGGTTAATCTGATTAAAGCACGATATATACATCTCTGAAATACCAGAGTAAAACTCCCTTAAACTATCAATACACACTTTAAAAATGAAGGGCAGGAGGGTAAAACAGCTTCTGTCTGGGTATGGGTACCCAGTGAGAGGGGGAGGCTATCAGGAAATGCTATTTTTATGTATGAAAATAGAACAATGAAAACTGTTGAAGTTATTCTAAGAAAGGGAAGTGGGGGATGAAAATGAGGAGATGAATCTAGGTAAAATACATTGTAAGCAGGATGTAAATGTCACAATGTATCCTCCCTGTACAACTGTTGTATTATATGTTAATAAAAAAGAAATAGTTTTGCTTATTTAGGATAATCTTCTTGGCTGCATATTCTGATTCACAAAAATGTAAATATGCAAGGATATGAATGCATTTTAGTCTTGCAAAAGAAGAGAGTGAATTTAATTAGGGACATAGAAAATCCATTACCCTGGCAAACAGTGTAAGTAAGATGATAAACAACTCAAAGCCACTGTGTGGACTTTGGATTTCATGTTTCATGCTGAATTGTTCTTATAGCAGAACAGATCTGTTTTCAAAAAATTAGAGCTAGCAGTTAAATAAAATTTCTTTCAGTAAATCCCATTTCCCAAAAGATTTTATGCAAAATATGAAGGAGAGAGAAAATGACTGCTAGACCATAGTTTGTATCGTAAGAAATATTTTTTTGAAGAACTGCAGGGTGTATGTTCACATGCATATGCATGTGTGTGCAGGTGAGTGTGTGTGGTGGGGGGGTTGGGCACACCCAATGACCTAAGGACCTCCCACTTGGTTACACATCCTAAAGATTTTATCATCTCTCTATAGTGCTACCCTCAGGACTAAGCCTTTAACACATGTGTTTTGGGAACACTTAACATCCGAACCATAGCACTCATTAACTTGTGGTCTTAGCATAAAAGGATGTGTATACTATGTTTATATGAAAAATTTTAAGTGGCTCTTTCTCTTACTCCTGCTAGCTTCATGAGGACCAGGGTTGTGTCTCTACTGCATGTCACTTTGTTTAGCCAGTACTGAAGGGCTGGATGAATGCCTCAACTGGTAGAGTGCCTGCTTAGCAAGTGTAAGTCTCTGAGTTCAAAACCAGTACCACCAAAAAATAAATAAAATAAATAAATACATGAAAAACACCATGACCACCACCACTACCACCAAAAACAGCTGGCCCAGAGCCAATATTGAGCCTAGCATGGTGAAAACTGATAAATATTTGACTGACATGATCACGGGCATGCTTGAAGAAGGAAAACACCTCCACCCGAGAAGGGGAGCTCGGGAGAGCCTGATCTTAACCTTAAGATTGCATATTAAATTATGAATGTATAGAACCCCAACAGAAGCTTAAATATTTCCTGCTCTTTCTTTGTTCTTATCAGTGGCTTGTCATCAAGATCTCTGTGCCTGGAACAAAACTGAGGGTCAAACTCAAACCGTGAAACTCAGAAGGACCAGAGACTGGACAGGATGGACATATGGCAGTATGCCCCTGAAGACTCCAATAGCCATTTATGAAAATCTCTTTCCTGACATTTTTATTTTTTGTGGTATTGTGGTTTGAACTCACACCTTTGTGCTCGCTAGGCAGGCACTCTCCCACTTGAGGCTTGCTCCTAGCTTCTTATATTTTAGCTTATTTTTTCCAGATTGGGTTTTGGTTTTTGCCCAGGGCTGGCCTCACACTGTAATTCTTGAACCTCTGCCTTCTAAGTAGCTGGGATTACAGGCATATACTACCATGCCTGTAATTCCTTCCTTCCTTCCTTCCTTCCTTCCTTCCCTCCTTCCTTCCTTCCTTTCTTCTGTCTTCCTTCCTTCCTTCCATGCTTCCTTTTCTTCTGTCTTTACTCAGGGTTTTAAATTGCTAAGCAAGTACTCTACCAACTGAGTCATTCCTCCAGCTATTTCTCACAATTCTTGATGATGAAGAGAACAGACTGGGAGTTGCAGGTGTTCTCAAGTGCAAATGATTTGTTGTCTTGTCTGCTTTTAAACCATAGGCAGGCTCTCTTTTAATGCCTTTTAGAAAGTGAGGTGAAATTGAAAAGAATCATGAAAAGGTAGCTATATTCTCCTCTTAAATTGATCCTTAACTTGCTATGTGGCTTTAGAAAAGTGACAGAATTTCTTTGTGTCAATTTTTGAATACATGTGAAATGCATCTAGTAGTTGTTGTTAGGAACTTTGCATTTGCTTATTGCTATTAATAAACAGCGATTGGAATAAGACCACCACTGCTTTGAAATTATTTCTCATTCTATCTCTGAGCATCTGTATTTTTTATTTTGAATAATTTTAGATGTATAGAAAATATAAATCTAAAGGATGTAAGAGAGTTACTGGTCACCCTTCATTCCATTTCCTCTAATACTAACATCTAACATGACCAGAGTGTAATTATTTAAGATAGGAGGACATGATGTACTATTATTAACTAACTCCAGATATTTCACTAGCAATTTTGTCATCGTGCTGTCTTAGTCTCCCATGTTATACGGTGCTACTTCACTTCCCCTTTTCTTTCATAACGTGGGCTTTTTTGAAAGTACTAGTCAGATATTTTGCAGAATGTCCCTCAACTTTGTTTTGTCTGATATTTTCTCAGAATTAGACAGGAGCTATAGAAGTTCAATTTAAATATTCCAGGAGTGAAGTGCCCTTCTTATCATAGGATCTCAGGGGTACATAATATTGGTGTGTATCACTACTGGTGATGTGAATCTTAATTACTTGTTAAGGTAGAAAAGAGTTTATGTTTAAAAAACCTTGCTCAGAAAGTGTGGGATCCCAAACCTTTATCCCTAGATCCTCTAATAATAAAATGACCATGGTAATCACTCGCCACAATTAAAGAATAAATGAGGAGGAGGATCTAGAGAGGTGAAAGTGGTGGAGGAGGAGGACAGGCGACAGAAACTTTCATCTGTGCTCCAGAGAGATCCCACCCTATCAGTGGCCTGGCAGTTGGGTCCACGGGAGTACACAGCTTAAACGGAAGGGAAGTCACTTATGCCAGCTGTGGTTATGAGCAAGCTGTTTTTCAAAGATAAGGCTGGCACTGAAGGACCTCCCAGAAAATATGACAAGTCTTTACTTTTTCTCCTTTTAGAACTTGGTCTCATTCCCCACGACCTTTTATCAATACGCCTCAGCCTGCTGAGCCTTGGGCACACATGTGACTTCAGAGTAAGCATTTGGAAGAACTTTTAACATCTACTGGCATATGATGCTTGCCAGGCTCTTTACATTTGTGACTCTAATCCTCTGAACAGTCCTGAAAGGTAGGGTTTTAATTATCATTTTACTAATGGAAAACTGATAAACTACAGGGCTGCTGAAGTCTAATGCCAGTGAGATGATTCCAGTACCTAAATTAAAATGCAAATCTGTCTGGCTCTAAAACTGTCATTCATTTTCTTTAGCTAATTGATTTTTGTTTTTCTACTAAGACTTTCACTTTTTTTTCCTAGAAAAAGTGCTTCTCTTCATAGACATATAAGCAATTACACACACACACACACACACAAATGTCCATTAATATACACTTACAGTTTTAAAATTGTATCTTTTTTGTTTTTTTTTTTTTTTGGTAGTACTGGGGTTTGAACTCAGGACCTCTTTCTTGCTAGACAGGCACTCTACCACTTGAGCCACACCTCCAGCCCTTTTGTTTTGTCTTGAGACAGGGTCTCATCCCATAGCCAGGACTGGCCTGGAACTTGCTATGTAGCCCAGGCTGACCTAAAAATGATGATCTTCCGCTTCTACCTCCTGAGTGCTGGGATTGCAGGCATGCACCACCACTCCAGATTAGCTTTTACACTATAGAAACTGCAGAGTTTTGTTCTTTTTAAATGATTTGCACCATACAGAAATATACAAAGTAAATATGAATGTTCATCCATTCATTGTTAAGTTTATGACCATAGTTTATTATTCATCTTTTTGATCTCCTGCTATACATTTGTCCACAGGTATGTTTTCCTATATATACTTCTTGTTTTAAAAGCTCTTCATAATCCAGTGGTTTTATTTATTTTGATACAGGATCTCACCATGTTGCCCAGGCTGATCTAAAACTTGTGTAGCTACATTCATCTTGCAGCTGGGACTACAGATGTGCACTGCCATGCCTGGATTACAGTTTTTTTTTTAAATTAAAAGCCTAACTATATATCTTGGAATAGCAACTTTACCTTTTTATTTCTAAAAGATGGTAAGATTATTCCGTAGTATAATTTAGTAAACGATCATTAAAGATTTTTGTTAGCACATATGATCCAGAGGATAAAGGCTGCACTCTGAAACCTTAGGCATTGCAATAAGCACAGATGGGAGATGTTTCAGAGCAGACAGACAGATTGATGCTTAGAACCTCAGACCTGAATCAAGCTGCAACCTCCATGTGACGTGTGAACTTGGGTGAGTCACAAATTCTGTTAGTGTGTTTTTTCCCTAAAAGATGGGGATAATGCATGCATAAAGCTATAATAAATTTCTAATGAGGATTATTTTAGTCCATGTAAAAGAGATTTAGGGACATATTTGGGATACAATAAATGTAACTGTTATTCTTATATTTGTCATTTTTGACTGTCCATAGCCAAGACTGTATGTTGAAATTCACTTTACAGCCTTCCTTCCCACTGTGGAAAGTCACATTGGGGCAGATATTTCCAGTTCTCCTCTCCTTCCCTCACAGTGGCAGTTAAATCCTATGTGTGCCCTTGGTTTAGTCAGTTGAGTCCTTTTATACCGAAGTTGAATAACTTGGGGAAGATCTGTAAAATGATGCTGGGACAGTCTTCATTTGATTTTGTGACCTATTTCTAAAAATTCCCTTCCAAAAAAAAAAAAATCCCATTGTCACTGCAGTACACATAGTTGACACTGTACTGACACTTGAGGAGTCAATATTTTCTCTATATTGTTCTTTAGCTTACTATTCACTTGAAATATTTATTGAGGACTTCCTGTTTACTGACAGACAGCTACAACCTGTGACATTATTCCTCCTTAAAAAATTCAGAAAGTTGCCCAGGAAAAAAACATTTCCATTTAGGATACCCTGATCAAACTGCAGGGGATTGCAGAATCTGTCACTGAATTTAGGCCATATTTGTGAGTCAGAATTGTGAGACTGGTTGTCTACAAAGACATCACTTCTCAGTAAAAAAGTCACATTAAGCCAAACAAGAATTTAAATGTCTATTGATCAACATTTTAAAAGATGTGCTTTGAATTTATAGCCATTTCCCATGAACTGGAAAGCAAATCAGCAAGTATTGTCCAGATGTAAAAACCTGGCAATTTCTGTTTGTTTGCATTTCTATGAAGACTGTCAAACGGGCCCTGGATTATTTTTAATGGACAGCACCGTTCTATTTACAGTGGCTTCTACTGTAAGGTAATGATGTAATGTACCAGTGCAAGGTTCTTTTGCTCTGAGCCAATTCAAACCTACTTCCCAACTGTAACAGGTACTTAAACTGCTTTTGCTTAAAAGCATGGACTCCTGACTCGGGGCCAGGAATTAACTGAATGCAGGGTAAGAGCTGGGCATCCCAACCTCCATTTGTACTTGTGTTCTTTGCTGTGAGCCATTCTCTTTGCAGCCACCTTGGATGGACAAAATCTTTACAAGGAGGAGTAGAGGAAACTGCCCCCAAGGAAAGGAACAGCAAAACCTCCTCAGGAAAGACCACTCACCAGGCATGAAGACTTTGCTAATGACAATGATAAAAACGTCTCTGTATTCCCTCTGCAAACAAGGACAGAGGTAACAACCAACCAGCCACGTCTGTGACTGAGACTGTTTAACCATGTGTACATTTCACCCCTGCCCTCTGTTTTAAACCTCGGTCCTCTAATGAACAGCTTCCAGATCTGTTTGTGTTCCTTAGGAGCCTGACTTAGACATGGCTGGAGCAGGAAGGCAGGCTTTAATGATATATCATCAGCTGGGCACTAAGCAGTAGACTAACAAGTGCATCTTTGCGTTATCCTTTTAAAATTATATGTTGACGTTACATGACCAACTATATGAACTTTTTCTTTGCCTGGTTTGACTGATTAATTTTAATAAATCAGCTAATTACTGAAAGGTACTGTGATACACTCAATTTACCGAGCCAAGTGGAAGAGTAACAAAATTATTACCTGTCTGTGATTTACTATTCTCACCCACAAAGCTAGCTGGCAGAAAGAGCAGCTTTGGGATTAGGGGAGAAGAAACTGGTGTCAATAACAGGTATTGGAAAGAAAGGAAGAGAGGAGAAGGGGCAAAAAAGTCGGCTGTTAGTAGGGCACAAGTGGCTCGGAAAGGGGAAGCAGAGATTGGGAGGATCGTGGTTTGAAACAAGTCCAGGTGAATAGTTCACAAGACCCTATGTCAAAAACACCCATCACACAAAAAAAGTGCTGGTGGATGGCTCAAGGTGAAGGTCCTGAGTTCAAATTCCAGTACTGCAAAAAAAAGAAAATAGTCAACTGTCGTGGAATAAGTTTTGCTTCTTATACTCTAGTCCCAAGATATGTTGAAATCCTCACCCTGGTACCTGTGGAAATGACTTTATTTGGAAATGAAGTCTTTGCAGATGTAATCAAATTAAGATAAAATAATACTGAGTTTGAGTAGAGGCCTTAAATCTAAAGAGGGAGGCAGGGACGGAGGCAGAGAGAGAGAGAGAGAGAGAGAGAGAGAAAGAGAGAGAGATTTGCAGACACAGAGGAAATATGCAAAGGGAAGGCTGTCAGGAGTAGATGGAGGCAGAAGCAGTACAAACCATGGAATGCCAAGGATCTTAGCCACCAGCAGTTTAGAGAGAGGCATGAAACTGTTTCTCTCCCAGAGAGTCTAAGGAAACCTGTCTTGCCAGCGTCTTCACTTTTGATTTCTGTTTTCCAGACCTATCAAAGTTGATGTACTTCCTACACAAGAAGGAGTATAGAATTTTTAAGCCTGTTAAAATCACCATAAGAAGGGGACTAAGGTAGAAATGAGAAAAGTAGAGATGAACCAATTTGGCTTACAAAACATATATACATGGAAATGCCACAAGGAAACTCCGTGTAGCTACTTAAACAAAAATGTCATTTTTTTTTTCGAAAATGGAGAACAGGAAGGCAAAATAGGTCCTGTCTGTGGGGTTGGTACCAGTGGGAGGGGGGATATAAGGAAAAGGAGTAGGAGGATGAATGTAGTGAAATATTATCCACTCGTGTATGAAAATGGAAAAATGAGACCTGTTGAAACTATTCCAGGAATGAGGAGAGGGGGGATAAAGGAGAATGATGGAGGGGGAATTCAACTGTGATACATAATAAGGGCTTTTGTAAATGTCACATTGTACTCCAAGTAAAACAATAAAAAAGAATAGATTTCTGTTGTCTTAAGGCATCCAGGTTGTGGTACATTGTTATGGTAGCCAGGGGACACTAACAAGGTACCATCCAGTTTCACACTTTTCCTGTCCTCATCACCAGAGAAGATGTGATCCCTTTCAGCTTCCCTGATGAAATTTCTGTCTTTTCCAGTGAGCAAAAATATATATAATTTGAGAATTTCCTAGAATACATCCCTTCCCTGGAATTTTCTGCAGTTCCTAAATGATATTTTTAATTAAGGGGTGTGTATAGTCATACTAGAAAATGCATTCTCCTGTGTATGATCTTTCTTAAAAATTTTCATTATTTTGTGCATATTTTCACAGATTTTGTGCATTTACCCATATAGGAGACTCCTGTACTTTGCAAATTATGTCAAAGTATTTTGGGTAGTGTACTACCTATGGTGATAAAGGCAATTTTGCTAGTAGTTGTCTCTGTTTTGCATGGTAGCAGGGTTGTATAGCTTCTGAGGACTGCCACTGCTGCACCTGGATTATCTCTCAGATGCAATAGTTTTTTGTGCTTTTTGACCCCTTGCAGTATCCAGTGGGTATGGTTGCAAGCCCATGTCTCTTGCTGATTGTAGCTGGTAAGGAATACTCCACTGGACACTATCACTTTTCTTGCTGTTCTAACTCAACATTTTCCACCTGTTGCAATTGGCCCTCATCTCTCTGCTGAGTACAAGAGTCCTTAAGAATTTTTGTTAATCTTCTGTCATCTGCTTCTCTGCCAGGATCTTTTGTCTTTCCTGCTGCTCTGCAAATTTAAACAGCCACTTTTGAGAGGCCAGCCCTCTTCCACCAGGCACGGCAGGCAGGCACTGGTGTCCCTCACCAAGAAAGTAATTCCCACGTTGTGCTGTGATCATTGTTAGTGATAAAGGCAGCGCAGTGGGTGCTAGGATGGGCATAGACTGCCTTTCCTATCCTGTGCTTTGCCTTTTATTTAGAAGTGTCCCCAAACTACTACTGAGAATAGAATTTTATGGAATTTGGTGAATTAGACTTTTTCTTTATAACTTAATGGACAGTTATTGCCTTTACCCTGTTAGGAAGAATCCCATACAGATAAAGTTATTAAAGATAGTGAAGAAAGGGGAGCTAAGTGACGAGACAGGAGGGTGGAGCATCCAGAACCTAGGTTAACTTTGAGCAGAAGGTGGTCATTCTTTTGAAAGATGACATACTCCTGTACTTACACATCACACAGGCACATGAGCTGTGGAGAGCACCTGGGTTCAAATCTGACTCAGTATTTTATGAGCAAGGTGTCTATTGACACAATGTTTAATAGGTCCTAATCTATGAAATGTAAATAATAATGACCTTCACCTGACTGTGCTGTTGGAAGGCTATTGCAAATAAGATGGTCATGTGACTGATACATACATGTATATGCATGTATGATGCATGCAACAGCATCTAAATATGAAAAAAATTAACTGAAAGTGCTAAGGCAGACAAAAGGTCCTGCACATGGTGAACACTTATGAATGTATTGTTGTTAATGAGAAGTGTATACATGGAAAAATTACAGTAAAAGGCTGCCTTCTTATTCCTTTTTTCTTTATGAAATAGAGAATAGAGGTTTAGTTAACTATCAAACCTAGTAAGACTTGAATAAATTAAAAACCGTGTTTACTTTAATTGCTTAAAAATGAAATCAAATTTTCCTCTACTTGGACAAATTCTACTCCACAGTTTGTTGATAAGCCATTCCACATATACAATGCCCCACCATTGTATCTAACATGGCATCTTCATATTATAATTTTAGATAACTTCTTGAATATAAATTTTGTGGAACTTTTTTTACTCCTATAAAGTTTCAATACATTCCTCACATTCTTTCCCACGTACCTATCAAAATCCACCTAAGCTATGTGCTCAAGAGTTCAGAAAGAATTGAATTTTCCTCCTGAATATCCTGTGCTGGACACTGTAGTTGAAATTAGTGTCTGCTTTCACCGCACAGTGTAAGCTCATAAACCTCTGTCCAACAAAGAGGCTGTGGGAGAAAGGGAGGAGTGTGCAGTTCTTGTAAATTTTAGAGAGAAGATTTGACTTTATTTTTGTCTCAGGAATAACAATATTGGTGATTCATAAAGGTAGAAAATCATCAAAAGTGTCTGTTATAAATGTGGAGAATTGTTTAAGTGATGTTTGTAGATGAGAGAGGATTGTTTTCTATTGAAGTCCCCATGGTGTGCCAAGCATTTTAGCAGTTATTTCCCCCAGAAATTCTCTCAGCTGATGGGATTTATGTGTTTGATGCACAACCACAGCCGTAGGTTTAAGAATTTCTTCAGAGGTAAATTAGTTTCTCAACTTGTTATTTGAAATCTTGTCCAAACTCCCATTCAAAGTCTCCATAGTGAGTAAAAGCCACTGTAAGCTGAGATTGTAGGAAGAAACAATGAATAGATTGTCTATAGAGGAGGAGGCAAAGTGAAATAAAGTAGATAGGATCTTAATATGCACAGGAACCACCCTCAGGCCCAAGGAGCCAAAGGGAGCAAACTGAGTTACAGAGTCCAGTGACCCTTGTCAGAAGGGTCACCCAGACTAAAACTATAAAACAGAGGATGCAGCCATTGCCTTGAGACACCCATCTAGGCGAGGACTGTGGTGGCCTCTTTGACTTCTCTTTCCTTCCATTCTCTGTCTGTGTTCAGTCAGGTGACACAGTTCGTAGGTGCCAGCCCTCCAGGGATACAAAGCAGGACAGGGAAGAATGGGTTTCAGGTGCAAAAAAAGAAGGACAGTCCCGACCCTTTCACTCTCAGTGGAAATAAATAAATAACCACATTAAAATCCATAAAAAGTTAGTTATTAAACGTAACTAATATTGGCACAACTTATAAAAATGAAAGTGTGCAGCAAAATCAAGACTATGAATTTTGTGATAGACCTGATAATCTATTTGGGTCACACACTTATTTGACATTATGAGTTTTGGGAGTTTCATAGATTTTCCTGAGTATTTTCATTTAGTGCACATTCAGAACCAATATTTAAAAGACTGTGGCTTTCATCAGTAGCAACACCACTAACAACAGGTGTTGGCGAGGATGCGGGGAAAAAGGAACCCTCTTACACTGTTGATGGGAATGTAGACTAGTACAATCACTCTGGAAAAAAATTTGGGGGCTACTTAAAAAGCTAGACATCGATCTACCATTTGATCCAGCAATACCACTCTTGGGGATATACCCAAAAGACTGTTACTCCAGAGGCACCTGCGCATCCATGTTTATTGCGGCACTATTCACAATAGCCAAGTTATGGAAACAGCCAAGATGCCCCAGCACTGACGAATGGATTAAGAAAATGTGGTATCTATACACAATGGAATTTTATGCAGCCATGAAGAAGAACGAAATGTTATCATTCGCTGGTAAATGGATGGAATTGGAGAACATCATTCTGAGTGAGGTTAGCCTGGCCCAAAAGACCAAAAATCGTATGTTCTCCCTCATATGTGGACATTAGATCAAGGGCAAACACAACAAGGGGATTGGACTATGAGCACATGATAAAAGCGAGAGCACACAAGGGAGGGGTGAGGATAGGTAAGACACCTAAAAAACTAGCTAGCATTTGTTGCCCTTAACTCAGAGAAACTAAAGCAGATACCTTAAAGCAACTGAGGCCAATAGGAAAAGGGGACCAGGAACTAGAGAAAAGGTTAGATCAAAAAGAATTAACCTAGAAGGTAACACCCACGCACAGGAAATTAATGTGAGTCAACTCCCTGTATAGCTATCCTAATGTCAACCAGCAAAAACCCTTGTTCCTTCCTATTATGGCTTATACTCTGTCTTCAACAAAATTAGAGATAAGGGCAAAATAGTTTCTGCTAGGTATTGAGGGGGCAGAGTGGGTGGTAAGGGAAGGGGTGGGGGCAGGGGGGAGAAATGACCCAAGCCTTGTATGCACATATGAA